TTTATGTTGTCATGTTTGTTAATTCGAAAAATAGTTTATAAGCTAGTTTTTCAAAAAGCTAATTAAACTAACTTTTTAGAAGTTTTTTAAAAAATTTCAGATATACCTCATAATTAATTAAAGAAGTATATTCATTTAAAATGTGATTTTATATCATTTTATATATTTCAGTTAGTTTTTCAGCTAGTTTTACCTAACAGTTTTTTTTTTGTCAGTTAGTTTTTTAGTTATTAACTAGTTTTTTATTTAATAATTAGTTTTTCAACTATCAACTAATTTTTCAATTAAAAGCTAACATTTCAACTTGTACGTCAAAAATAGCATAAATAGTCTACTGCATTCAACCATTTTGGTCATTAAACTATAAATTATAGATGCTATAAACATTATAAGTGTCATACTAAACCTTTATTACAAGGATTTTAGTATTTTGTAAAATAATTTGTTAAATCTATTTGTGAAAAGTTAAGTAAGATAGAAAATTTAGATATGGTTTTGAAATATTGTTAATCATCTTATTTAATAAATGAAGGTTTTTTTTGCCACTTGTCACACACTAATTCATTTTACCACATGTCATTTAGTAGTTATTTTGAATTAATTTTTATTCTATGTGTAATTTTGTGGTTTTCCTATTTTATTAACTTTCCTATGGTATTTAAATTTAATAATAATGTATATCAATTTCATTAATTGACTTTCTTTATAATTTTAAAATTTTAAAATAAAATCTCATTAATTTGCTTTGATTATTTTATCTAAATGATTTGTTTAAATTTAAAAGAAAAACAAAAACACTTTAATTTTAGCAATTCAATATTTTTCTTATTTTTGTTATAAATTTAAAATTTTCAAATGTTTATACATTGGCGGAGCGAGTAGGGGGGCTAGTGAGTGTTTTGCCCTCCCTAACTTCATTGGTATTATTGTATTATCAGTTAAAGCACCCTCTCTATATTTTTACGATGTATGTCTTAACCCCCGCTAATTTAAAATTCTAGCTCCGCCCCTGTATACATTGTTTTAAATACACTCATTTAATACATGAGCTCACACCTACTTTAGTATTCATATAAATTGAAACTCTTGGCCTAGTCCTAAATATTGATTTTGAAATACGTCTTGTACATGTAATCCGTTTGAAATTAATTAAGTAGCATTCTCAAATTTCAACTATATTAATACAACAGAACGATTAAGGAAACAAAAAGTGAAATTAAATTATTATAAATAAAAGGACCAGTCACTCAAAAGAAAACCCGATATATATACCATATTGATTCTAGGTAACACCTTGTCCAATCAAAGATCATTCATCCATACAAATGCAAACTTTTAATGTCACAGCAATTCTTTCCCACCAACTATGTTCTACTTTTTATTATTATTATTATTATTATTATTATTATTATTATTATTATTATTATTGTAAATGCAACTATGGTCTACTAGTTTCCAATTTCCAAACTACATTTTAGGGTAGGGTCATGGTGCATGTTATGTGGTCATATGTTCTTATGGTTTCCTAGAAAGCTCATTAATTATAAAATCACAAAAGAACATGGTCCATGGTGAGAGCTACTTGCCAATTGCCAATTGCCATCATCCCTTTATACACAATTCAACATTATTTTGTTTGTCACATTTGGCACTTGCTTAAGAGAATAAAATTATGTGACATTGCAAAAGTTGTCATTGAAGTAAATGACTTATGTTTCTAGCACTAATTTGAATTTTTCAAAATGAATCTATATTTACAGATTGGAAACGCAGTGATCAATGATGAGACAGATACAATAGGGATGTATGATTACTTCGGATCACATGCCATAATTTCCGATGAGACTGCTTCCATAATCCGAAATGATTGTAACTTTTCACCAAATGCAATCACACAACCAGATACATGCATTGACGCTACAAATGATGCTGATTATAACATTGAAGCTCTTGACATCTACAACATCTATGCTCCTTTATGCTTTGATGGAAACCTTACTAGAAAACCAAAGAAGACATCGGTATGGGCTTTACTCTTTTATAAGTTTGTAAATAAATAAATTATTGGATCCATAGAAAGTTATTGCAACAGTTGATTTGTCGCTAATTGTTTGTACGCAATTTTTTGGTGCATATAGTGGCAAAATATTGATCCTTGTAGCGACTACTACACTTATGCTTACATGAATCGTCAAGATGTTCAAAAGGCTATCCATGCGAATGTAACAAAACTCAATCATGATTGGGAACCATGCAGGTACATTTATGTTATGTTTGGCGTATTAGCTGATAGCTCAAAAGCTAACTGATAAAAAATAACGTTTGATAAAACTAACTGAAATATATAAAATTATATAAAGTGATATTTAAGAGTATTTTTTTAATAATTAATTAAGAGGTATATTTGAAATTTTTTAAAAAAACTCTTAAAAAGTTAGTCTATGTAGCTTTTCAAAAAGCTAGATTATGAGTTAGCTTATAAACTACTTTTTGTCTTCCAAACACGACATCATAAAAAAAACTCGATAAATAAGCTACTTGTAGCTTATTTGTTTTTTTGAACTTTTTCAATAAGTGGTGTCTAGATAAATAAATTTTAAAAGTATATATTTTGAAAAGATGACCGAATCTTAGGAAACTAAAATAATTGATGGAAAATTAATAAAAATGTTTGGACTTTAATGAGAGAACGAGTCTTTCTCTAATTTTCTGTATTAAGTTGTCACTTTTTCTACATAGAATTAACACTTATACGCATTAATTTAGTAAGTTTAAAAGAAACAACATGAAGCATACATACAACTCATTTGTGGATCACGTAAAGTAAAGAAGTGTCGTGAAATATAATTTCTATCTAACTGTATAAAGTTGTGATGTCGAAATCATGCAGTGAAATCCTTAAAGGTTGGGCAGATAGCGCCACAACAGTTATTCCACTCCTTAGGGAATTCATGAAGTTTAAGCTCCGCGTTTGGGTATTCAGGTAATTCTATAAACCGAAATACAATAAAAATTATTCAAGATTTAACACGTATAGATTTAAAATTTATATCCAATACTTTCAACCATTTATCTAGTTTTTGTAAAGTTGTCCATATTCTTCGTGTTCTTGAATCTTGATGACAAAATTAAAACAACTAGCGACACATTTGTTTGGTCACACATTTGCCATTTTTCTAGTTTGGTCTATGTGTAACAAATGCATATGAAACCTTCTTTTACTTTTATTACAGCGGAGATACCGATGCGAGGGTACCAATTACCTCAACCAAGTACTCCATTAATTCCATGAAGCTTTCTATAAAAACCAAATGGCATCCATGGTTTCATCAAGGAGAGGTAAAATTATCATTTAAACATACCCTAGGATATGATTCAAAAAGAGTCATAAGTTAGAGTCTAAATTATAAGAGTTTCGATTCCAATGTGAATTGCACTACTTGTTGCTAACCTTTTGGTTATGTATATGTTTTAAATATCACATGATGCTTTCAGATGACAATGTTGTCAACTTTTGAGTTACTACTAGATTAATAACCCTTTTATCAAAAAATAATAATTGAACGTTTTTTTAGATGCTATAAGCCCTTAGTAACCACTAAATTGATGGATTAAAAATGGAATTAACTTATGTTATATTATTAATGACAGGCTGCTGGATTTGTACAAGTTTACAAAGGAGATCTAACATTAGCGACGGTTCTAGGGGCAGGTCACCAGGTGCCAAGCTACCAACCAAAGAGGGCACTTGCACTCATCAAGCACTTTTTGTCAGGAAAGCCACTAAGGGATTCTTCAAAACGTTGATATGATTCAATACGTCTTGATAAATTATTCTTTCACAAAATCTGCAGATGTTTTCTATTGATTAATTGTAATTAGGCCAATTTAATTGTTGATTATTGGTGATATAAGTCGTTTTTCATTGATTTTCTAGCCACCACAAACAAATAATATGTTTAGAAGTTTGGAATATGATGAATTGTCTCGTAATACGATTGAGGATTAAATTAATTTGTGAATTAATCGATAGATATAAATCCGAATCTCAAGATGTGTTTTTAGGATGAAAATATATCATAATGTATATATTCCGGTGTTGTTTATATTTGAAATGTTGTTGTCCCGATTCATTGTTCCCTACAACTTTTGTTTGGGACGTGGGCTACATTATCAAGAAATCTTGTGTGTCCGTATTAGGCTATTAGGCATCTTCAAGAAAGAGACTCTGAGCCAATAAATTTGGAAAAGTCACAGCCACAATTGGGGGGGGGGGGGGGGGGGGGGATTATGTATACACTAATCCGAACCAAGGCCGATCGATGCATACCGTAGGCCCGATCCAAAACAAAAGAGAGGTTCTTCGACATGACTTGAACTAAATTGAAAAAGTTTGTTAATTTTTTAACTCGGGCTCAAAAATAAATGCTGAATTAAAATTCAAAATGACATTTTTATTCAAATAAATAAGTTGTTACCAATTAAAAATCAACAAATTAAAATATAAAACTAAAGAATGGCAAACACATGTATCAAAAAACATAAAAATGATATATAATGATAAGGGAAAAAAGGATCGAGGATTATGATAAAATGGCGGAAGGAAGAATCTTGGCTACAAGTTGAGGATAGTTTACTTTGCTAACAATGTGTTTCTAATAAGGAGGTCATGTGTTCAATTCTAGACATTGATTAACTCGTTGTGATGATAGCACAAGATTTTTCCATAGATTTATTAAAAATAAAACCCAGAAAACAAAATTCATGGTCTAATGATCAACGATGTTTAGAATAATTGTGGTGAACCTATTAAAGATGAGGTTTGGAAACAAGAGAAAATTTTAGGGCACTGGCGATCGACAATCATCGACGTGTAGTCACTAATCCGATATGTATTCACTAATCCGAACCAAGGCCGATCCATACATACCGTAGGCCCGAACCAAATCAAAAGAGAGGCCCTTCGACATGACTTGAACTAAATTGAAAATTTTGTTAATTTTTTTACTCGGGCTCAAGGATAAATGTCGAATTAAAATTCAAACTGACATTTTTATTCAAATAGTTAAGTTGTTATGACGAATTAACAATCATCAACTTAAAATATAAAGTTAACGAATGGTGAAGAGGGACAAACATCAACTTAAAATATGAAGTTAAAGAATGGTGAAGAAGGTGAGGAGGATTAGAAAAAACGCCTAGAACCTAGAGAATCAATGACTTTAATTGTTCGACCGATATGTATGCATTATTCTGAACCAAGGTCGATCCATGCATACAGAAGGCCCGATCCAAAACAAAAGAAAGGCCCTTCTACATGACCTACAAAATTGAAAAATTGTTAATTTTTAAACTTAGGCCTCAATAATAAATGTCGAATTAAAATTTAAAATGACATTTTTATTCAAATAATTAACTTTAATTAAGTTATTAGTAGAATTAACAATCATCAACTTAAAACATAAAACTAAAGAATGGCAAAGACATGTATCAGAAAAAGAAAAAAAATAATATATACAAATCGGAAAAAAAAAGATTGAGGATTATGATAAAATGGCGGAAGAAAGAATCTTGGCTAGTGGCTTCAAGTTTGGGCTAGTTCACTTGGCTAACAATGTGTTTCTAACAAGGAGGTTATGTGTTCAATTCCAGACATTGACTAACTCGTCGTTCTAAAAAGAAAGTCGGTTCAATGATTGTGACGATAGCAAAAGAATTTTCCATAGATTTATTAAAAAGAAAACCCAGAAAAACAAAATTCATGGTCGCATGATCAACGATGTTTAGAGTAACCGAGGCGAACCTATTAAACATGAGGTTTGGAAGAAAGATAAAAAATTTAGGGCACTGGCGATCAACAATCATTGACGTGTAGCCGATCAGAGTCCTCCAATAAACACCATTGGTGGTTCATTACACTGGCAACGTCATGAGGGATAGATGGATGGGAAGTGACATTGTTGGTTGACGCCATGTAGAAGCTTCTTCACGTAAAAGTTCAACTCAAGGAGGTCGTTATCTTAATCGTATAGTGTTAATGCTCAGTCTTTCTACATTACAAACTAACCTGATACTATGTTACCCAATGATTTATGGAGGGTTAGTGGACGTTTAGAAAGGGAAGTAGACGTATTTGTTTCAAAAAGATTGTTTTGGGTTGGAAAATGTAACATCTTGATTCCCAGGTTTGAGATTTATGGCTTAAAAGACAATTCTCCTTTGGGACTAGTCGTGAAGATGGCCTCAGACTCGATGTGTAGGAAGCTCTCTACTCGACGGAATTTAGAGAAAAACTCGACAAGTTAATGGTTGTTTATGAAACCCTAATTTTCAGGGTTTTGCACCCTATTTAAAGATCTTATGACTCACTTTTGGCCTCCCTCATCGTCCCCTCAGTCCAGAGAAACCCTAAATCGTGCCTCATCTTCCAATTTGAGTGTATGTGAGTTTAAAGAGTGTTCTTTGGTGCTTTTCTTGAAGAGGTTTGAAGTTGGTGGTGCATAGTTTAAAGGAGAAGCTTTAGATCCGGGATTTTCATTGTTGTTGCAACCATTTGGAGGTATAAAGTCGATATATTGATCATCCCTTTGCTAAATCTCTTCTTTTGAAAGTTTATGGCCTTATTAGCTTATTTTGGGACCATTCTTGGATTTGAGCATGTTATGAAGCTATGACTTCATGTAACGACCCAAAATTTAGGGCCAAAAATTTCTTTTAATAAAACATTACTTAAAGCAAGTCGTCATTCCAAAACATAAGATGAGTATAAGTTTTCAAAACACATGTTCATTATCAGAGTAAACGTTCCCAGGTTGTCTAATCTGTGGTGTGTGTCATGCGATCACCCCGAGCTCTTCCTCCACTACCGGAAGTACCTGAAACCAAAACTGAAAGCCGTAAGCACGAAGCTTAGTGAGTTCCCCACCCTACCACATACCATGCATAACCACATACTGCACATACTGGGCCACACCCGCTATCTTGGGCCTCACCCCTACCTCGGGCCTCGCCCGCTACAACGGCCCCGCCACTCCAGGCCCCGCCTGGCTTCGAGCCCCGCTCGGATACATATCTGTTTTACTTAGGCCCCGCATGTCACAGGGCCTCGCCCGCCAACAATTAATATCACATAAACATATCACAACACATAACTAAACACATACAACTGGTTCTATCCTAAGGCCTCGCCTATCCTGGGCCTCGCCCATGTACTGCTACTGATGAGTCATGGAACCTCATCCACGTTCCTAGTGGTAGTGAGATACGGGCCCAACCCACCTTCACTCCTTCCCTAACTTGGGCCTCGCCCCTGTTATGCGACTATTGAGATGTGGAACCCCATCGACACTCTGCTATTAGTGAGATACGGGATCTCGCCCACACTCACCTCCCTACCAGGCATATACATGTATCACACAGACAACAAGTATAAACTATCATATAAACAAATCTTTGGGCACCCGCCCGCTATTACTGGACCACGTCCTGAAAATCATACTAGCATACTGTGCCTAGGGCTAACCCCCGGGTCTTCTACTCATAACTACATGGGCCAGCATTGTGGCCTTAGACCCATTCACACAAAGGGAAACTCACCTGCACTGGCTGAACTTGCTGATGATCTCACTAGTTGCTGCCCGGCAACCCACTGAACTCCTGCTCCCCTTGCTCCCCGAACTACCAATATCAAAGCAACACTGAGTCTAACTGACCCCCGAAAGACAACCAAGTCAACCCTGGTCAAGGTCAAAGTCCTGGTCAAAGTCAACCTTCCAGGTCAACCCTACTCGCCGAGTCACCCTACTGACTCGCCGAGTTCAAAATGATCAGATTCTTTCCATTCGCGACCCGACTCGCCGAGTCAGTCCATGACTCGTCGAGTCTGCCGATTTCTAAGTCCTGACCTGTCCAACTCACTGAGTCTTCACCCGACTCACTGATTCGAGTCTCAACTCGAAGGGTTTGGGGTTTCGCAACCTGACTCGCCGAGTCCAAGAACAGACTCGTTGAGTACAAGGAAATCTTCATATGACTCGACGAGTTGTTCATCCCACTCGTCGAGTTTCTCTACAACTTCATGCTACTCGTCGAGTCCACTCAAAGGACTCACAGAGTCCCTTCAGTTCTCCTTACATGCAGAGGACTTTTGAGTCATGCATGGACTCCAAACTGTAGATCTACCCTTCCCAAGCCTATTCCTCACGTAAAGTTGCAAACTTTACGTGTAGAGAAGGAGATCTAGAAAAAATATGCCATAAACTAGGGTTTAAGGCCAAGGGTCTTCAAAATCAACTCAAGGGCTGATACTTTACGGGGTTTTAGATCAAAATAAGCATGGATCTGAGGTAACAACCTCAGATCTGAACCCTTAGCTCGAAAGGTTACTCTTGTGCCATGAATGTCCAAATACACACATAGATCTAGATGCAAAGAAGGGAAAATAGCAGCTTGTTACCTCTAAGATGAACACCACTGAAGTAGATCTCGGATCTACACCTCCTCCTTTGAAGCAACCTTCTTGATCTTCAAGTTCCTTTCCCAAAGTTCCTTCCTCCAAGCTATATCTCTCAAATGATGGAAGCTCACACGAAATTAGGGTTTTCCTCATTCCGACCAGACTCGTTGAGTCACCTTGGCTGACTCGCCCAGTCGGTCGCTTACTCCTTGACCCGGATCCCGTTCGGACTCCCCGAGTCCATCCTTGGACTCGCCGAGTCTACCCTTAAAATTAGGGCTTTTCTTTCCTTTCCTGGCCTTCAAAACTTTGGGTGTTACAACTCTCCCCCACTTAAACTAAACTTCATCCTCGACGTTTACTATACTCCACTGCCTGCGATCTACCTCCAATACCCCACCATTCATTCTAACACCAACTGCCTAACTTTGCTGGCCTTCCGCTCAGTCATTCAGACTAACGTAAATCCTTACCGGTAATAATCTTGAGTGCATCCTGACCCTGAACATCCTGGAAACACATCTTACTCAACCGACAATCTTTCTGGTATTCTCCGAGTACTGCAACATAGGGGTTCACCTCTTCTTTCCTTGCGTGATTTCCTTGCCTTCCCAAGGCAACGCTCCATAACCATTTATCTCC